TATATATATATATCACTTATATAATGTATAATCGCTCAATCGTTTTAATTATAAATACTTTTGCAAAAAAATTTTGACTTTTTTGTGCGCGATAAATCTTTATAAATATTTATATTTAAAAAATAATTGGATGCAACTTAAAAAACCCAGTATACATATATGTATATATGACTTATATAATGTATAATCGCTTGATCGTTCTACTTATAAACTTTTGCAAAAAAATTTTGACTTTTTTGTGCGCGATAAATCTTTATAAATATTTCTTTACTTTTAATACACGTTCTTTAAATTATTTTATATATTTTTTTGTCATAATTTTTATTACAAACAAATATTTATATAAGTGATTAAATTTGTTTGGTCCTTTATATGAATTATTATATCAATGAGATTGACTTTTCTATTTTTAGTACCACAAAATTCTAACACGAGTGATCTATGCACTTCCGGAAAAAGGTGGCTCTATCGACGAGTTAGAAGCTCTTGCAAGCGGAAGCTGCTATTCAAGAGAATACCCATCTTAACGTGGTTGCCGAATTATCGGAAGGAATATGTAGTAAGCGATCTAGTAGCTGGTATCACCGTAGGCCTCACCGTCATACCGCAAGCCATAGCGTATGCTAACGTCGCGGGATTACCGTTACAGGTAAATACAAAATAATATTAAATAAAATTTTATCTGTGTCACTCAAGAATAATTATGCCTTAATTACAATAAAAAAGTTTATTATTAATTACAATGAAATATACGTATATATAAATTATAACTTATTACGAAATTATAAATTATAATTATATTATAATTATATTATTACGAAACTTATACTAGTAAGACGCGAGACACATGTCTTTTAATAAAATATCCATCAATTTAAAAGTTTATCAAACGAATGAATATCATATAATACTATAAATATACATGTACGAAACGATGCGGCACTTACACAAAATTTAGTTGTTACGGTGATCTTCTTTGTGTTCACTTTTTCAGAAGAATGTTACACATCAATTTATAAATATCTAAAATATATAAACATTGACTGAATCTGATATTTATACAGAAAATTGGATGTCATATTGGATGAATTATTTTTATGTTTTGTTTTAAATATCTTTCTTTCTTCCTTTTATTTCTTATTATTAAAATATTACAAAATATAGAACAAGTTTCATAGTTTTAGAAAATATGATTCATCCAACAAAATTTTTATAGCATACAATTTTCAAGAAATATTATTAATATTTAAAAAATACTTTATTTGGACAGTATGGACTCTATTCGTCTTTCATGGCCTGTTTTATATACACAATTTTCGGCTCTTGGAAAGACGTGCCTGTCGGGCCAACCGCAATCGCCGCGATTCTAACGAGAGAAACTTTACAAAAGGCTCATTTAGGACCTGATTTTGCTATTTTATTATGTTTCGTCTCAGGCTGCGTCTCCTTATTAATGGGCATTTTGCAATTAGGTAATATTATAAAGATTATAAAGAATAAAATTGATCTAATTTGAAATCATCGCATTTATGATTATTTCTAAATTAACAGTTTTCATTAATAATGATATTATTTAATATATATTTTTAATATATCATGACAATACTTATATAAAATATTGTAATATAAATGGCTTGTTAAATTATTTTTTTAATTTTCAATAATATTAGGATTCTTACTGGATTTTATATCGGGGCCAGTATCTGTTGGTTTCACATCGGCGGCGTCGATTATCATTGCCACTAGCCAAGTAAAAGATATTCTTGGACTCAAAGTTTCCGGTACCAAGTTTGTACAGATCTGGCAAAGTATCTTCGAGCATATTGGAGAAACAAGGCGTTGGGATACCACTTTAGGAATTGTCTGCATAATCGTTCTTTTACTTCTCCGAGTAAGTGCAAATACTACTGCATTTCACTATAGTTTAGCTTATCTGTTGTTTCGGTTGTTTAAACAATCAATTGATATAACACATCTTCCTCAATTGTTCATAGTCTACAGATTTGAAATTAAATTGAAATTAAGTTAAAATTAAGTTGATATTAAGTACAATTTAAAGTGTGATTCCGATTTCTAATTTTGTTTTTAAAATTTTTAAAAACAATTAGTTTTATAAAAAATTGAAATTCAAAGTGTTATATTTTCTACTTATTCCATTTTACAAAATTATATTTTTTAACGAAAAGATTAGGATAAATAAATTCCTTAATAAATCATAAATTAAATAATTTTTATTGTTTTTAAAAGTTATATGCCATGTATATATCAAAATATGAAACGTGATAATATAATTATTATTTCGAAAATTATTATTTGTTATATATGGGAAGAGTTCGAAACATTTTTTCTTTTTAAAAATATGTAATAATAAGAGAGGCTGAAGAATACAAACAGATTTTTTCGTTTATATAGAAAGTAAAGGATTTGCCGGTGGTCCCAAAAAATACTAAAGTACCATCACGGCTTCAACAAGTTATCACGAAGTCGTTCTGGCTAATCTCTACTGCTAGAAACATCATCATAGTGATTCTCTGCGCGGTGATGTGTTGGCTTCTCGAAAAGCACCTAGGAGAATCACCCGTTATTTTAACGGGCCATGTAAAGCAAGGACTACCGGAATTCCGGTTGCCACCTTTCGAAGCTCAGGTCGGAAATGAGACCTATACTTTCATCGACATGATTTCCGCTCTGGGCACTGGCTGTCTAGTCGTTCCCATGTTAAGTCTGCTAGAAACCATCTCTATCGCCAAAGTATTTTGTGAGTGCTCAATTTATTAAAAGTAATTCTTCTCAATATTACAAATTAAATCAGTTATTTTATCAATGATAATTAACTATGATAATTAAATGATAATTAAAAATCTACTTAACTAAAAAATTTACTTAAAAAATAAAAATAAAATTAGAATTAATATATAAAACCTAGTTGAAAATATTGATCAAAATGTCAAGTTAGCTTGGATTTTTTTAAATTAATAAGAGCAACAGATAAATCATAATAATAAAATAAAATAAATTGGATAATATATTAAGTTCAAGATCATTTAAGGATAAGTATATTAAAACATCCCTATATATATTTTCTGTTTTCGAATAATTTTTTATTTAAAAAAATGATGTCTAAAAATAAATGTGTTTCCTATCTCCAAAATAATTGAATTGATGTTTCATTCATAGCCGAGGGTAAGTCTGTAGACGCCACTCAGGAAATGTTGGCGTTGGGTGCATGTAACATGGTATCATCGTTTGTATCATCAATGCCTGTGAGCGGCGGCCTCAGCCGAGGCGCGGTCAACCACTCGTCCGGGGTGAAGACGACGCTTGGTGGAGTCTACACTGGACTATTAGTGCTTATATCGTTGCAGTTCCTCACACCTTATTTGTACTACATACCCAAGGCTGCCCTGGCGGCCGTCATAATTGCCGCGGTCGTCTTTATGGTGGAGTTTCAAGTGGTAAAGCCAATGTGGCGAAGCAAAAGTATGTTTTCTCTTGTTCAATACCAAACACTACAAACAGCAAAAATGAAAGAGAGAAAATTAGAACAATTACAATTAAATAAATATATAAAATGATTTTAAAAGAGAATGTTATAAAGATTCTTTCAAAAAAAATTCAAAGTGAATCAACATTCCAGCAAACGAGAATTAAAAGAATTAAAAAAACGAGGATTAAAATGAATTGAAATTTTTTTCTATCCGAATGCGTATTTTAAATAGCGAATACTTTTTTTGGATTTAATTGAATTCAATTGGATTCAATTAGATTCAATTGGATGCAATTAGAAAAACTGTATTTCCTATTCAAAATTTTGAATTGAATAACACAATATTCACAATGTTGTGTGTATGCACAGAAAAAGCTAAACATTATTTTTAGATTGAAAAGCATAGAGATATACTCTATGCAATTCCTATAAATGAATAAAAATGCATTTAAGATTGAAAAAAATTCATTTTAACATTCGTGAATCAATATTTCTGAAAATCTGAATCTATTTCAATCCATTCTCATTTGCTGAGATGTTCATGGCGTTTTTCGTTAATTATTTTTGTGCGGCCATTATAGTTGGGTTTACGTATTAATTTTTAGAATCAAAATTATATTTATTAATTACTTCTTTTTTGTACTACTGTGTCACGTCGTACAATTAAATTATTAATGAATAATTAATTAAATTATTAATGAGTAATTAATTTCACATCATAAATTTTAATTAATTAAAACAGCAAACTTGCTTACAACAAAATTTCTATATAATTTGTTGTTTTCATAAAATCTTTTTTTTCTATACATTAAGCAACAAGAATTAATAATTTTATTCATCATAAATATTATTTAATAAGAATTAAAGAGTTTGGTCATATTTATCTTCTTAACTTTTCTACTTGCATAACTTTTATTTTATATAATTTTTTTTATCTTTTTTGAGAGATTATGTTATAAGATAAGATTATGTTATAAATTGTACCGTCATTTTCAGAAATTGATCTCATACCGGCCATAACCACGTTCCTATGTTGTCTTTTCATACGACTTGAACTGGGCATTGTAATTGGCATCGGTATAAATCTTTTGTTCCTACTTTATGCCTCGGCCAGACCGACGTTACGAGTTCATAAAGCTACAGTAAGTTTATAGCTCTGTATTAGTAAAAAAAAATAATCAAGAATAAAAATGTTAATTAAAAAATAGGTAAAAAGAATTGAAAGTGTATCTTTTCATCAACACGATTGTAATTTAAAATATTAATATTATCTTTTTTTCACTTATACAGAGTATCAGTGGTTGTGAATATCTTGTCATAACTCCAGACCGAAGTCTGGTATTTCCAAGTGTTGAATACGTACGAGCTGTTATTAGTAAGCAAGGATTACGAGAGGGTACCGCCGTACCCGTTGTAATAGATTCTACGCATATCCAGGCTGCCGATTTCACTGCTGCAAGGGTGAATAAATATTATAGAAGAAAAATTAAATTTACTTAATTTCTACATGAATTAAACACTAACTTTTCTTTCTTTAGGGTATCAAAACTTTGATAGAGGATTTTACTAAACGGGGCCAACCATTAATTTTTCATAACTTGAAACCGAGCGTTATTGAAATCTTTAAAGGTGTAAAACCTTTAGGGCTCACGTGCAGCTCCAGTGAGCTCGAACTCAATGATCATCTTAAAGGTAAATCAATTTTTATATTGGATCTTCTGTTATTATGTGTATAATATTTTCTAAACATAATATATTTTATTTTAGAGTATACAAATGTTTCAACCGAGACTCTCAATCGATATTAACTATATATTATATATATATTTTTTATACACACACACACACACACACACACACACACACACACACACACACACACACACACACACACATATATATATATATATAGATATATGAAGATGCAGACAATTTTCAACATCTTTTTCTTACTTAGCATCAGTATTATAATGAGAATACTGTAGCATTTTCGTTTAAAGCAGTATTATTGTCAAGCAAAAATGCTACTTTCGAATTTAGATAATTAAATATTTTGTATATATGTACGTATATATTTATAAGAACAAGCCATTATAAAATTAGCATGTATCTTGTAAATCTACGCGATATACACAATGTAATATTTTTGTACTTACGCAAAAGGCGGAAACTTACATATATTTCAATAAAAATATATATTTTGAATTATTTTTACTCTTTTCTTCGATTTTACTTGAATTAAATAGGTATACAGTAATTAGTGTTATTGGTAATACAATTCAGAAAGTGTATGTATGTATATATATAAAAATAGATAAAAAATATAGGAAATTAAATTTTTTGTAATTATTCATTTCAAAGGACACAACTTGGATGACTTTTTACTTCGACATTAATGGTCTTGGTCCTTACGAAGGTCTGCTCCGCTCATTTTACAACAAATATATTCAAGTCAATGCAATTCAATACTCATTTGCATATTTTATCTACTTTGTCTACTTCATCTACTTTATAATTTGCATACTTTAATAGTCATACAATTAATAATAACAATCAACGATGGCTATCTTTTTTATTAATTTTTCTTGAATCAATAATTTTTTATTTGTAGCACTATCAATAATCCAATAAAGCTACCTGATTCTATATTAAAATAAATACATATATTATGACATACATTAACTTTACATACATTATAAACTGGATTGTAAATATATCAAAATTTGCTCGTGCCACGAAAAATGTGTATTCCATAAACATAAGCAAATACATACATAGAAAATATATACAACTGATTCTTGCAACTTACATTTCGAATATTATCGTTTTAAAATACTTGTAAATATACATTCTAAAAAAATCAGTTATGTATATTTACAAGTATTTTAAAACGATAATATTCGAAATGTAAGTTGGAAGAATCACTTTACAATGTTGGGAGAAAAAAAGGCCTAAAAAAGGAAAAGTATGTAGAATTTTTTATTTGTTCGTTGGCACATGACGATGTCTTTCTTCACAGTATTCAGCTCTCTTTCCTAATACAATCTTGGCTATGTCCATGTATATTTAAGAAATTAATATCAATACTAGCTGATTTCTCGAGCACCTCCGGACGGAGTCGCTATGTAAAATGTAGGCGTGCCGGAATATCTACAAAAATATTTTTACAGCATTTACATAAAAAAACCAAAACTTAATTTAATACAGACGAAAAAGACATTAACTTCGCTTTCATATGTTGGATCGTTTTGTCAACCGCATCCTTTCTTAACAAAGTTACGGTGCAACCACCGAAGCCTGCGCCTGTCAAACGGCTTCCTAACACACCGTCCACTTCTCTAGCCGCCGAGACCAGCGAATCGAGTTCCTTAGATGAGACCTCGTAATCGTCGCGCAATGAATCGTGACTTTCATTCATTAAGCGCCCAAATTGCTGAAAGTCGCTTTTCTGAAGTGCCACCGCAGCGTTCAGAGTTCGTTGAATTTCTGTGACCACGTGACGAGCCTTTTTCACAATGGACTCAGACACATTTTGCGATATTAACACTAAAAACACGTTAGTCTATTATATATAGTCTATTATATAGAAACAGTGGCAACTATGTTAATTTATTATCGTCATTAAAATGTAATAAAATTGATACAAAATGTAATTATTCGTTTAAAACAAAATAAAATGAGATAAAATAAAAGAATAAAATCAAGAATATCATAATATTAAAAAATATAAACATAACATTAAAAAATTTTTTATTGTTACCTAAAATATCATTCATATTTGCATCTCTCAAACTCTTCTTGCCCAAGATTTTCGCGGCTTCGTAACAACAATCTCTACGCTCGCAATAGGCGCTCGAACTCAATTTGTGCGGTGTGTTCGAATTCGTTATGAGAAAAACGTAATTATCTAGGTGCAGCATAGATATTTGTTTAGTAATAAGATCGCGACAGTCAAGCAAAAGAGCATAACCTTCCTTGCCCATAGTTGAGATAAACTGGTCCATTATACCGCATGGCACACCAGCGAAATCATGCTCTGCTTTTTGACACGCTAAAGCCTATGTATAATATGTAAATTCACAATATACATAATATATTTTATATTAATTAACATATCCTTTAATTGGGATTAATTAAAAAATATAAAATATAAGTAATTATTCATTTATATAGCGGCTATGTAGATAAATGAAAGAATGAATGAATACAGATAAAAATTTCAAAATATAAAAAAAAAATCTCTCTTCAAAATCGTTGCCTCAAAAAGATTTTCACAAAGAAACTAATCAAATCTTAGAAAATGAATCTTGAGAATTCGTTTTTGTACATATACCGCATAGTTATTGTTACTTTTCATAATTGTTGGGATAGTATAAATATTTCAAAAGCTAATTAATTATCTGTCAATTTGGCTATTAATGCGTCGATGAACAAATATTTTATTTCAATAAATTTTAATGTATTTTTATGTCGTGCTGCTCAGCTTAAAATGATATTATCAGCATTATTGTTAGTTCTTTAAAGAATTATATATAAGTATATATACTTATAGTATATACACTCATAAATGTATATATTATATAAGTGTATATGTATAGCTAATACCATTATATTATTATGTTGCTACTGTTAGAAAAAAGCTGTATGATCACTAAAAAAGAACATAGTTACCTTCAGTTCTGGTTTCTCCGGTTTTTTCCCGCTCAAGGTCTCCAAGAAGGTGTAAGTTGCTACCTCTAGAGCTGCAGAACTACTAAGCCCGGCGCCTGCTGGTACAGTCGATACAATTACAGCATTGAACGCGGGGACGTCACCTAAAATAATGTATTAGTTGATTTGCGTTTTATAAACTGTTTTATAGCTAATGGCACAGGATTTAAATTTAATTTTCTTAGCGATTCTTAAATGTTTCTTAAAGATTTAATTGATTTCGAGCTTCTGAATAAATTACATGTAACAATCAAAATTGCGAATAACTTACAAATAAAATTGGCGATGCATCCTTTTATATAATTCGCCCACTTTGGTTCTCCCGGTTTTATATCAGCTTGATTCCCAGCTTTGAATTCGAACTCGTTTATATCGCCGACCACGTTACTCAAGGAAAAAATTCTGGTTTTTTTATCATTGTGAGATTTCCCAACTATTACCGTGACCATCGGCAGTGCCTGATAATTATTTCAAAATTATTAAATACTTCTTTAATAACAAATTATTGTTTTGTTGTTAAATGGCAGTAAAGTCTGATTAAACTATTCTAAATCTGTATTTGATAATATATAAATGAATTATAAAAATAACTATCATACTATTTTTTTATTAAGTACAAAGATCTTTGAAGCCAATATATTCGTTATCAATTAAACAGGAAAAAATTCAAACAAAAGAAAAAAACTCTGAAAAAACTTTTTCAATTAATAAGAAAGAAAACAACGACGTGACGACTTTTATGAATCATGAATAATCAATAACGCGTATATTATTGCGTTACAAACACTAACATATTATTTTATTGCGGCGTTTCATTGATTCAAACGTGATGCATTTTAGCGTTTAAATTATGTCAAAGTGGCACGGAAGACAAACGTTTGATAATAGCGAATTTAATCACTTGCATGCTGATCTACATGCTGAAAGCTTTTGCAAATAATATCATTTTATTGTAAAAATATTATACAAATATCTTGGTCGACAAAGAATAATAAATGTTAATATTAGATTTATTATTTTTAATTAAATTTATTGCATGATTCATTTTTCTTTTTTTTCTTTTCATTTACAGAAAAAAAGAGAAAAGGTGAATTGTGCAAGCTCAGTTAAAAGGAACAGACCTATTGTCAAATGCACGCATGCATACATACATATGTAAAATTTATTTTAGCGAAAGATATATATTGGATATCTTATCGGTGCTTATATTATCTATATTTCTGCAGTTTTATTTTGCAGCAATTTTTAAAGCGCACCACAATAACACAAACAATTAAATTCACTACAAATTTTATTTGTATCCTTTAGTTATATAAGTTATATAAGAGACAGTTCAGCGCGCTGAGGAAAACACGATTACATGGCCTTAACATTTCGTTGGTCGCGTAAGTTGCAATTCTGTATGTGATAACACAATGATGTAATAATTTATAATGATAATATTATAATCCACGCATAAATAGTCATGATTCTCCCAAATTTAATTACAATTCGAAATTAAAATCAATTTCGAATTGTATTTAAATTTAATTGCGTTCTGTATTTTATGCACTTAAAATATTTAGTATTTTAGGAAGAAGGAAAGAGTACAGAACAAAAGAATAAAAAAAGAAAAAAAGAGAAATAGGGAAAGAATAAAGAAAAAAGAATAGAAAGCGCAATAGAGATTGATTTCATTTCAAAGTAAAAGTTTTTTTTCTATTATTTTTTCTATTCCGTTTCTATTCTTTTTTTACACTTTTTGTGTGCTTTCTAAGCGCTATTTAGAACGAAATAAAATACGCGCAATTTAAGAGCGAACAAAGGAAATGTGTGAAGAAATGTGAATGTTTTGTGTGCGATGCAAGAGATTTACCAAGATTTACCATCGGTAGTACAAAACCATCGTTATAATCGGTGTGCTCGCCGATGAGATTAACACGTCCTGGAGCGTACACGCAAACAACGGCTTGCTCGCCGAATTTCTCGGCGAAGATTTGCAACGCTTTTTCCTTAACGCTATTTACATGCGGGAGTAATGTCGCCATGCCGAAATGTCTTCTAGACTTCACTCGAGATGCAATTGACGAAACAGAATCTACGACAGAAATGGAGATTAAGTGACGTGATGGACAACCATCGCGGCCAACAGTTGCGAAGATACTGATGCTAATATAAACCTTCTTACGGTGATTAGGGGACTGGAGCGATGTTGTTTGTTATCAGCGCAATCTTCGGCTAAGTGCCTCAACGTAGAACTTAAATACTGCACCACAGTGCTCTATATCTGCAAGTGACATAAAATATTATTATACAACCTTTATTACACGACGTTTTTGAGACAGTTTTTAACATACGTTTTTGTCTGGAATGGAAGATTATAATAACATAATATATAAAAATAATAATATATAAAAAATAAAAATATATAAATTATATTACGAATTTATTTTGATAAATATATATTGTATTAGAATATTATTTTTATTGAAAGCATTTGTTATATTCTTCATAAGCATCGTTATATAAAACTAAATGTTAAAGAAATGATAGGATCAAATATAAGTGTGTTGTCGACAGCAATATAGATACAGGCGCAATCAATATCATTCGCAAAAATATGAACGAGGCGTTTATTGGAAATATCAATTCATATGATGTTCGTACGCGTATAAGCACAACAAAAATATTAATAATTAATGAATTATTTGTATAAAGCAATAATTTATTCGTACAAAGCAATAATTTTTGTTATTAAATTAAGTATTAATTAATTATAATTAAATTATTATCTATAAATAATATTACATATATAGTAGTTATTATTACATAATATTTGGAAAATAATGATAAATCTTTCATAGGGGTAGAAGTTCTAATAATTTTTTAGAACTTTTTCAGAATTTTTTAATCCCGTATTTTCTCATGTTGATAAAAATGAGAAAATGCAGTATTAAAAAGTTAATAAAAAATTCTGAAAAAATTCATAAAATTCTACGAGAAAAAAATAAATAATTTTCGTCTCTTGCAGTTTTTCTGCAAATAAAAATTGATAGTATTTGAGTAAAAAATTATTGAAGATTAATTTTCGGCAATTTTTAGCAATTAATATCTTGTTAATTATTACGAAAATTGCAAAATAATAGATTTTTCTTTTCAGTTTTTCCATTCTGTGAAAGATTTATCATTATTTTCCAAATACCCTATATATATATGTATTAAAAACACAACTTTATAAATAAATTCTTAAAATCTAAAATTATATGCAGATCATTCAAAATAGACTTAAAATAATCGATCTTTAACCCGCGCGAGAATATAAATCACCTAAGAAGTTTTTTATATTTCAGCTGCGAAAAATTAAACTAAGTCGCAGTAATTTTCTTTATTGATTGCGAATCCATTTTTATTATTTCTCTCTTTTGAATAAATTCATTATATAAAATAATCTCAAATATTAATAAATTGTAGAAGAAACAATAAAATGTATAATTATAATTATATAATGACAAGTGATAATAATATATAATTATAATAACATAATGATTATTTTTAATTGGAGTGTAAAAATCCCCTATTGATTGTTTACACGATAAAATTAAGTAACATACTATATTATTCCTGGATTAGTATTCCTGGATAAATAAAATAGTCTCAAATTAAATTACTAAAGTGATTTGATTTCAAGTGAACGCGATCCAGTTATGAGACTTTGTTACCACTACCACCATCCCTATCATGCTGATACGTCGGCAGCACGTTCACAATGCAGGATGCAGGTGTTCCCGTTGTTGAGGCTCGGCTGACGCTTGTGTCGCGGCAATAAAACTAATTTCCCGCGAGAGACATACGACGTACTTCCAATGGACGCGCCGCGGTCGATTTAACGCCAATATTTCGCATAGAATGTGCCATGTCGGTCTCGGATCCTCTCATCAAAGAGCTGAAAGGTAATCTCGTGATCGCTCGTGATTGAGCAGGTCAGGTTAGATGGGTCATTAAACATTACACCAGGGAATTTATGGCTCCTTTATCATGATTCATGAATATATGATTTTTTTTTTTAATTATCAAGTTATGCGATATCAGTTTCTAATTATTGCAGTCATATTTCATTTTTGGAAAACGATGAATTTTAACTTCTAATGTGATGATGCTTTAATTAACAGTGTCACAGAGTTTGATTTTTTTATAAGATGTAGACATGTTATATGTGTGATGAATAAGAAATGTGTTAATTTTAAACATATTTCTTAAATTAATTAAAAAATGTTTAATATTAATCTTATATCAATTTAATTTTTGTATAAACATAAATGACAAGAATCATTATCATATGCTGATAATGTCAGATTTTCATAATATATTTTCTAAAAATCAAATAAAATATCTTGTTTTGCTAACATTTTTGAAAATACATATTTCTTTGTTATTTTGCAAATCTTATTGATTCTTTTACTATATAAATATTATAAAAATTTGTCTTAACAAAATTAATGTATGTAAGCTTGTAGAATAATTTTACATGTCTTAGGATGGACTCGAAAGCTGATAGAACACGCTAAGGAAATCACTGATGCAAATGAAGATCTACGTCATTTTTGTAAATGCTTAGAAAATTGCTTACAGAAGGATTTACTGCCTATTCTCGATAGTGTTGGATATTTCAAGCCATATGCATGGCACTGGTTAGAATACATCGCCAAAAAGAATTACAAGTAAAATGATTCTCTTATTCTTTCATTAATATTCATGATTTTATATATTATCTGACTCAATGTGATTTTTAGTGGTTACAATACGTTCCTTTTGGCAGTTGAGCAAGTGAAACAAAATGCAAAAGTGCATACACCTGCTGGACGACTTCGTCTCCTGATAAGAATATGTTTGGTACGAAAATGCCTTCATATGCCAGTAGAAATATTGGTGAGACGAATGAACTAATGTTAATCAAATCTTTAACATGTACATCTATTAGTTAATTAGAAATTTATTATTATATGTTTAGGCCAGAATACCAGCTCTAGCTACCGAGTTTTACAACTTAAAAAGCATTTTGGGAGATGACATTTTACGGGAGATACTATTATCTGTACTACTGCAGTGTAGTAAGTTTAATTTTAAACTGAATTTAAGAAATGCAACTTTCTTGGATGACACCTGGCAGATGCCGAAATGTGTAGCTTTGGAGTTGGTACCTTGCAAGAGTTTAGGCATCTCTGTATGGCAAGTATTTATTAAGATAAAAGAAAATAGGAACTATATGAATTTTATTCGTTGCTTACAGTTTTACCAACGAGAAAGCATTAGTTGTCAATGTCAATGAGAAATCGGTGGCTGCTGAAGATGTAAGAAAAAGACCTCTGAGTATCTGATATAATTTTTTAAAATTATAAATGCTTTAAATTTAATGTTATTTGCATGTTATCATGTAAATCAGAATAAAGTCGAGGTTGGAGACGTACTGGACGAGATAAACGAGAATGTCATCAATGGCGATAGCAAGGGAAAACTACGTAAAATTATGAGGAAAGCTAGTGGACAACCGATAATGCTACATATCATTAAGGTAATTTGCATTTTAAATGATTAATAGAAACGTATATGCTAATGTAATGATTACTATTGTGTATTTGTAGCATTATATCAAAAAATCCCATGAGCTTTATGAACCAATAGTACAACTCATAAAAAATTCAGGAATTGAAAGCATGAAGCTCTTAATACAGATATCACAATTAGACCAAGTGGAAGAAACCACTAAAAAAAATCAGATCTCTAAATTAGGAAGTAAAACATTTAGTGGATTCTCCGTGAAATATTGCGGTTCTGTACATGTTGGTACAGAGGGAGATGTTAAACAAATTGAGAAAGCTATTTGGCGTTTATTGAAGTCAGGAGAAAAAAAACAAGTGCCTGTGCGATTTGAATGCTTAGAAATTGGAATTGCAGTAACTCGCGAAGTAGACAATCAGGTAAATTAATTAATAATATATTTAAAAAATTATTGACAGTTACAAATAATTTCTGTTTTAATTATTAAATTCAAAATAATTCAGGAAGTGTAATATTGTAATATAAGTGGAATATTGTAATATATGTGTATATTAAATAATTAAATTGAACAAAATGACATTTTTATTTAGACAATATGTAAACAAAGTTATATGGAAATTTCGTCGTGTGGCCGTACCATCAATATTCCAGATTATTTTGCATTCATTGCAGGGTAAGCTTTATTAAATTAAGCATAGATTGTACAATTTAAAATTATATATGCATAACTTATTGCTATTATCTATTATCATTTTTAGAGAAACAAATTGTAACATGGCAACAAAATTTGATGCTTACGTCTTCTATCATCAAAATGATGTTGAAGTCCAACAAATATTACAGAGTTTAGGACAAGGGTTTCAGCGTACTCATTTTGCAGTATAAACATACAAATTTTGCAATACACACACACACACACACACACACACACACACACACAAAAATACACAAGATTTATTGAATTTTCGAATATTATTATGCCTTTGTATCTTCCTAATATTATTTAATATTTTTGTTCAAATCTAAGACCAAAGAACTCAATAAAATCATAACAAATTATTTATAACTAAGTTACAAAAATTATTATTTTGTTGATGCTTTACATTTTTTTTCGTGTTCTTTGTACTCACCTATCTTGTTTCTGAGCTTGTATACATATACATATAAAGTACATATAAAGTATACATATAAAGTTATTTCTATTATTTATTACTGTTAATAACGATCATGTTCCTTTAATTTAATAGCCAAAGATTCGGAAGTACTGTGAATGTATAAATACTTGAAAATAAAATGTGATTTTAAAAATATACAATCAAATCATTTTTACTTTATATCATTGATATTTACTAATTATCAATAGTTACTTAATAGATAATATAGATCTTTTTTTTACATTTAATTATATTTTTATTTTTTTTATACATATATACATATCAGTGTGGTATCAATTATATTTTAATTGCAGTAGAAGCAGCATAGACAAATGATAACTAATCGAATTATGGATCGATTATTTATTGTTTAGATTAAATTAGTTAAATAGTATGTAACTTACAATCATAAGATAGTGTAGGAAGGAGATGCGATGCGTTCAAAATAGCTACAGATCTGAATGGTCCAGTTTCCATCGAATTCGCAAAAGTGTGCTCTCGCGTATTTTGAACATAAAACGTTACCATGAGATTGGTAGCTGAATGTCATGATCATCACATCGAATTTTGACATTGCGATAGTATAGTGTTCGATCCTAATTTAGCACGGATTCTCACCACATCTATATTTTCGACGTAGCTACGTAGTATCCAATTCGAAAATAAATGTACTGGCGCTAGTGTACGGGGAATTTCGAGTTTCACAAAAAAGATCGGGATGGCTTGATGGCCGCTCCGTCTGATTTCTCTGGCGCTGGTGAGCACCGGGCTCGGCCATCGACGGTTGCCGAGAATACGGAGACTCGAATCAGCGGGAGTAAGGCAGGAACAGTGCCGTCGTCATCAGGCAGGGTACGAAAAATGGCTGCCGCGATGAACGTTGCACCAGAGAATCAGTACTTCTATGAGGATGTCGTCTACCGCATGGACAAACGGGGCAATGTCGTCTTCGGCATCGTCATGGAGAATGATGACCTGGACTTGTCCGATGAGAGCAGTGACAATGAGGAGAATTTGCCGAAACGCAAGAAGGGCGAGATCCGCATGATCTGGCATCCGTCCGGTGTTGAGGAATTGGTCAACTGCAAGAAGGTATCTACATGGTATCTCTGGCGACATAACTGGATGTCGCTGTAATCCAGCGATTGTTGCTGCCCAATGCATTTCAATGTTTTGTCTTGATTTTTTTACCTATACTTTTTGTATCTGTCATTTAACTTCTATTTGGATTGGTTTGCATTAGGATTTTAATGACATTTAAGCAGCTTTGTATCCATTTTTATGATGTCTTATTTCCAGGTTCATTTGGCTGATAGGACACTCATGCCTGGAGATGTGGTACGTAGAATGATTAAAGGAAAGGATACACAAAGAGGTTACTGCCGAGATGTAGAGCTGACAGCCTGTGTTCAAGTCATTGGTACCAAACAGGTTCTCACAGATATCAAGAGCGAAGACCTGATTCCATTGCAGGTATAACAATATCTCTATCTGTGGTAGATGATTATACATTATTTATATACTGAAATACACAGTTGTTATTTATAGGAATTTGCGACAGATATGGCAGTGTGTCTGGATTCTTGGGTCGGTGGCATTAGAATGACACATTTCAAATTATGGTTGGTAACACCAGATGGATCTCACTGTGTCATAAATGAGATGGATTCCTGTGTGTTGGGACAATTGGAAGAGGCGCGAGACAGCGTAAGATTGAACTACTTTATCATTCATATAGGATCCAAACAATAAGTATGTTTTAGGACAATGATTTTCCACATCCGACTGAATTCTATCCTGGTCAGAGCCTATGGGGACCGGTTCACTGCTTAGAGGATGCTCAATGGCTTCAGTGCACAAAGGAGATGAAGGCGAAGAGGAAATTAAAACCACAAAAAATAACTAAAGTGATTGTGGAAAAAGTGGAGACTGATTGGATAGGCGTACATTGGCAGTGCCGGGCATATTCAAAGGATGGCTGGTCTGATCAGGTTCAACCGAAGTTCGTGGTTGAGGGTGAAGATTTGAAAAAAATAAAACTGTTAAATATATTCGAACCCTCAACAGTACAGGTTGGCAATCGTAACTTCTACATCATTAAGGGTAACGAAAATGTTATTACTCGTGAGCAATGGCGAAAGCAACAGAGGGATATTTATCAAATTCCTAAGCAAAGTCCAAAAAAGACACGTCCAAATATCACAGTGACGAAGCTGATGGAAGATAAAAAAAAGGAACAAAAAAAGGATAAAACGTCTGATCAACCAACAGAAGAAAACAGTCAAAGTAATGGCATTCGTCCTCAGGACACCATAAGTAATAATGTTTTAATGCCGCCGCCTCAAAATCAACACGCTGAAAGTTCGGATGAGTGGGATACGGAAGATACAGGTTCACAAAGTGACTCTACTTCGGTAATATGTTTTTCATTCGTCTTCCTTTTTTTAAGAAAAAAAAATTGAAGATATAAAAATGTGTGCGCTTTGTAGGTCTCTAGCTGTTGTTCTAGTATGTCATCAGCAGGAAAGAAAAAAAAAGGTCCTGCATTAATGACGAAAGTGCTAAAGAAAAAGAAATTGCGAAAAGCGAAAAAGAAAATACCGCCTGTTCCATTGATTCCTGGAACTAAAATAGTCGTAGAAACATTGTCCACTAACACGAAAGCGAATGTGGTGTGGCAAGATGGCTCAGTAGAATTTGGTATTGATTATTGATAATTATTTATTTTAATTATTTAATTATTGTTTATTTTAAATACATAAGAATGTATCTAAATTACGTTTTAACTTCTAATTAGTGTCATTGATTTATGTATTATTAAATCAATAATTTATATATTACAATATTAAAAAGTAAACAGTCTCAATTACTGAAAAAAATGTCCTAGATGATTCTAGACATTATTTATTCTCTTTTTTAGGAATACCGTCAACACAATTGTATCCAATTCATCACCTGGATGATAAGGAATTTTTTCCAGGTGATTTTGTTGTAGATCAAAAAGAAGAGTCTAGAATGTATGGTGTTGTACAAAGTGTTGATCATCAGGGCCGTACTGCCAAGATAAAATGGTTCCGTACATATACTTCTAGTCAAAACCCAGAGTAAGTACAAATACTTTTAATGTTTTTTTCATATATTTTAGAATTTTACGATAGTTTTATTTATTCGGATTTTTGTATTGGATCAAATATGAAATATCAAGTATATCATTAATAAAAAAATGTAAATAAATGAACAAGAGTTCTCTGGATTTCTAAGTATTTGGAATTTATAATTCAACCATAGTTTAAATTACAAATAAAATAAAAAAATAATTATGTAAAAAAATAGAAATACATATAATTTTTAAATTTGCTATTAACTACTTTTTGCTCAGACCGATCTTTCTGGAGGAACGAGAAGTGAGCGTTTACGACTTGAAGGATCATCCAGATTTTCAATATAGACCGGGCACTCTAGTGATTCGAATAGCAAATTTTGAAGGTGAAGACACTGGGTGTACTGCTGGTCAAGTATTGGACAATTATCCAGAAGGACGAGTAAAAGTATGGTGGATTGACGATCACGTTAGCATGTGCTGGCCACAAGATCTGTATAAAGTCGGCGAGTACGATAGCGATGAAGGGGAATTATGGGATGATGTCTCGTCTGATTCATCGTGGGAAACGGAACTCGAAGATTGCTTCATCGCAGATAACGATGGCACTGAGCAGACGGAATTGGATAATATAAAACCAAAATTAGCAGCACATATTGAAAAAGCTAGAATTGCAATGTCGAGATTGGAGGAGATTTTTACACAAAACCCGTCCCTACAGACAACAGAGGTGATGAGAAAACTCCTCGAAGTCTATAAAGATTGCCGTTATATGGATAAATTAATGGGTACTGCATTCTTCCACGAGTGTCACTTCCAGGGACTTCTCGAGCGAGTGAGAGAACGTGGCAGAGCAAACGTCGCGCAGCGCATGGCAGATCAAGTTACGAGACTCTTTACGCCCAAATCTGAATATCCAGAAGAATCCATAGATAAAGATGATTCGAAAAAATCAAATAATGGCGATAATTTATGTACAATTAGCGTAGAAGAAAAGCAAATTACCACAATTATCAACGAATCGGAGAATGACAATACTCCAAGTATCGAAAGCAATGTTAAAAAACAGACCGACGAAGAGAATGTTAATCGATTATTTATATATCCCAATCCCAATCCCGAGGATTCCGGATTATATTCGGCGGAAAATTCGAAGAAGGAATCAGGCTCGAGCGAGTCTAGCGGGGAATTTCTTATTAGCGAGGATGTTAACAACGTACCAGAATGCTCATCTACAATAAATGGTATGACCACACCTGAGAAGACGGAAGCAAACAAAGTGAAGAAGGTACCGACGAGTCTACTGACTTCTCAGAGCATCGGAACATCACAAGTATGCGTTAAACTTTGTAATCTGATCAAAGCGCAATTAGTATTAGCGCACGCTGAAGTATCGAAGAGATTCGGTTTGGGAAAAATGTCATTATCGGATGCAGAGAAAACCTCATCTCCACGGAAAAAGCAGAAGAGCGAAGAAGAAGAACGCCTGGAAGTAATGACAGATCCATCCTGTTCTATCGAGATTCCACCAACGGTTTATACCGAAGGCGAGGGCTTTTCCATTGAAGAGACTGCGCCCGATAGTCATAAGTTTAAACTGACCATGTTCCAACCTACCGATCTGACCAACTTCTTTCGTACGGTCTCTAAAGAATTGAAATTACTCAAGAGCTCCCTCCC